TCTTCAAAAATTATAGAGAGAATGCTGCTGACTTACTGTTACTGTACATGTTAGCTTGCTCAGCCTTGCATTTCTTTGCTGCAGCAATTGAAGGTGTGGCTGGAATGAAAGGTGTGGCTCAAATTAAGCACCGCCTACTTCATAGTTACACACAATGGGCAGTTACTGGTAAAAAAGCTTCAGTTTTCTACAATTACACACAGTTTATGACACAATAATCAGGCTCAATTTGTTGTATACAACTTGATAGTAAGAATCTACAGTTTAAAAGACTCTGACAGATCTTCCTGGAGAACAGGACCTCGTGTAAACAGTCGCGGTAAACGATGTTTAAGCTACCATATCTCAGAAATTAAGAATTTAAGACAAATTTTCTACATATTAAAAGAATAAAAACTTTCAATCTATCGTTTGGTGTGTTCTATTGCATTATTACCTTCGTTATGAGAGAGTTACCCGGAATCCTGACTACGTTTAGCAACATTACTGGCTCATGCTGCCAAGGAGAAGACGGATGAAGAAGTAAACTGAAGAAAAACTACTTTTGGCAATTATTTTAGTTGACGGTGGGACTCCACAGGACCTGAGCAAAGAGCAGCAAGGATTTGAAAACAGAGAAAAAGACGCTATATTGCAAACACACACACACACACAACTGACACGACGAGCGCAGTACCCTCGCCTATACGCCTACGGCGTGGGCGAGGGCAATGACAGACAGACAAACCTTTCATTTACTCTAATATCTATGGCATGACCCATAGATAATAGAGTAAATGAATAAAAAAATAAAATAATTAAAATTAATTATTAATTATTATTTATTCATTGGACTCGCCACGCTTGTGTAGGCGGGTACTATGCAGTTGGGTTGTCATTCTGTCACGAAAATTCCTGTTAATTCCTAGTCAACATCTTTTTTACTGAGCTCTCCTGACTTATAATTCTTTTTAAGCTTTGAGAAAAAGATAATTTATTTAGCTCCGTTGTGTTTTCATAGCAATCCGTGGTAGCAAAAGCTGAATATTTTCAAGAATAGGCCACTTTTCCTAGCCAAATCTTCGTGTTTCACTCTATTTGGTCAAGATTAGCATTGATAGGTAGAGAAAAGTACATAGATTAAAAAATATGTGGGAATTTTCTAATCTCTTTTTTGTTTGCGAGTTACAGTTGC